CCTGCTATACGGGGCAGAAACTTGGCCATTAAGAAAACAAGATAAAGACAGACTGTCGGTGTTTGAACACCGCTGTCTACGCAGCATTCCACGAATCTGGTGGGGTAGCCGGATGAGCAATGCTGAGGTTAGGGACAGAGTTTTGGGTAAATACGGTCGCCCACTGGAGCAAGTGATCGACCTCCATAGATTACGTTGGCTGGGACATGTGTTACGCATGTCACCAGGTAGGTTACCACGGCAAGTGATATTCGCCGAAGAAGATACAGAGTGGAAAAAAGCCAAGGGTGGTCAAGTTAAGACCTGGCATGAGGGTATGAAAACCCTAACCAGGAAACTGGGTCACATAGGTTCTGTTAGGCTCCCTGGCTGGGGACCTCGGGATGATCGTAACCCATGGTTAGAGACACTGAGCGATATGGCTGGGTGTCGTAAACAGTGGCGTTCGTGCATCTCCTCAATTTCTTCCCAACCTTAGTCCACGGAACTTCTCCATTTTCCTTTCGACTCCACTTTCAACTTTCCTCTCTTCTCCTATTCTTCATCTCAATGGGCAGCCAAAAGACAGCAACCAAAACCGGCGCACGAAAGTGCATGGTTAACGGTTGTTCAAACTGAACTGAACTGAACTTGAACACTTGACAAACTTAACTCAATTTACCTTCTGTGATACCAAAATTCCTACAGTGCTTCGCAATAACCTTGCTATGTTACAGGGAGCGATTCTGTCACCCTTAGTTTTCTCCCTGTGCATAAAGAATCTGCCTATTCCTCGTAGTTTCATTAGCTACGAGTCTGCAAATGTGGTCATAATTGCATGTCTGTATATAGATCTATCTTGGTTGCTTGTTACCTTTCAAGACTGTTTATGCAAATTTTGAATTTGGTTTAAACTCCACTCACTGGAGTTCAATGTTCAAAAGTGCGTTAATATAACTTTGAATCTTAAATATGACTCTTTAACCCATGCAGTTTTCATAATCCTTTATCTCCCATCAACTATGGTCCATCTATCTTTTAACTAGATATTGTTTATCTCAATCTTTGATGGTCTACGTTTGTTGAAATTGTCTTGATGAATGATCGCAAGCTATTGGCTTACGTCTAGAAGGAAACGTGGTGAGACCCCATGCTTAGTACGTAAATTTATCATCACATTCACTATACCTCGTTGTTTGTATTGCTCCCTCATCGTTTTCCGGGTCTGAAGGAGAAAGACCTCACCACTTTTGGAAGCACAGCTTACCCGTAATGAATTTGAAAAGAGAAAACAAAACTACAGGTTTCCAACATACATCCTGGATCGTTTCGCTGCATTTGCTCACATGTATACTGCAATTTATGTGATCAGAAATAACCGAATTATGGGTAGCGAAATATTGCAACTGCCTCAACGTATTTCAGCACGCGGATGTTGCTTGTATTTCAGAAGATTCTAAACATGCCACACGGCATGACAGTGCTTTATTTTGACCAGATGTTGTGTGATAGACGAACTGAACTTCGTATGGGTCAGCGGTGACGTCATACTTTCAAAGTTTGTACTCATTGTTTCCTGATGCCAGACCGGGTTAGGCTCGGTAATGCAATCTTTTCTCCGTTCTATCGATGTATATAGCCGAGCAATCACACTTGAACTGATAGATACAATTAGATTTGCCGTGGAGAGACAGCGGTTTTTTCACCAAGGCTGGTGACAACCTAGTGGTTGTGGAAACTACGATGTAAGCGTAGTAAGTGCGCCTAACAGTCAACCTTAAGGCCGACCGCTCTTGCTTATCATTCAGCTTATGTCACCGTTCTAGCTCTTCCACTGGTATTCCCACGTGAATTTTCTTTTCTTCCATAGTCTGAAGAATAATCAGGATTGTCTCCGACAATGGAACGTTGGTGAAGACAAAACTAACTCCCATAGTAACCATATGTTTAATTGAATCTTTCTGTCTTTCAATAGTGCACACAGTTGAAAACAGTCTTTCACATGAAGTCTTGCACTGGTTTTAGAGTCTATGCTTTCCACTTGGCTAGTTTATGTTACGGTGATTTGCACACAGACAAAAATGGGTCGCAAAGTATTGCCTGCTTTGTATAGCTGTGGCAAACCATAAATTCGTGGTGGTCGACTTCCTCTCGGCCGTATCTGTTCCACAATCTATTCTCGAATCAATCTTGCTTGCAACAAAGTTTTCAGTTCGAAGTTGATTTTCTTTTGCAGATCGTGTGGATCATTGGTTGTTTGATTCACTATGAATTTTCTGTTATCATTCAGGATTGAGGGTTATCTTACGTTCTTATCTATAGGTCTAGCGGTATTCTCTGGAATGATCTTGTTGATTTTATTGTTCGCGACCACTTCGGTGCAGAAGAGCAGTTTACCAAACCTCGTTTGATTCACGCAAATCACTGTTTACACAACGGAGTACAGTTGTTTCGAATGCCAGATTAATCCCGCCCGTAAATCTCCATATTGCGACAACATTATTCCTTGTTCAGTGCACATCTTAGCGAATCGCATGCCGGTTATCGCGGACCAATCAGTTTGTATTCCACGTCAGCCTTATTATTTGTTTTTCTTCTGTTTCCTAACGGTGCTCAATCGCTCTACTGTAATTTCTCTACTATGCAAAAGCTCCTCCAACCAGGGTGCTTATAGCATTTCTTTACTTGACTTGAAATTTACTTAGAATGGAAATTTTTTAAATACTATATACCTCAGAATAGTGAAGGTGAGGATAAATGTTACTCGTACCAGCGATGAACAAGTGTTCCGTTACCAAATCCGACATCTTAATCCCTGAAAAGTGGAAGTGAGGAATGCTCCAATCTCAATAGTTGACCACATGTTTTTTCATATTTAGCCTAATGACATCTAAAAGATCTGTCGGAATCGAATACTGCTGGAAAAGTATGCCTTTCGAAGAAAAAATCTCGTCTTTTATCTCATTCTCATAGATCCTGACAGAAAGATTGCCTTGCACGTAATAATCTGACTCCGCGATTGCTTGAATGCATTCGGAGTTCAGTCAAGAAGAAGTGGATTCTTGAATTAGCCGAAATACGTTAACCTGTTGACATTTTACTATTTCTGATATATATGACATATCTGACATATGACTGGATGGACCGGTATTTGACAAAATCTGTTGTGATTTCCTCAATTTTTATCCGCAAAATGATGGCAATTAATAACAATTAACGTAGAATAAGTGCGATGGATATGTTTGTGATAACCAACAAAGAGCACTGGACAGCTGTTTCGTCCATTTTAGGACTCGTCAGTAGTGTGTACATTTTGTATCCCTGTCAGGACTCGAACCGCGATTCTCCGGGCTGGGACTTCAAATCGAGCATCAGCAACAGTGCCTGGTGCCTGGGAAAAAACCGAATGGGCTAATCCAAACATTCATCATCTAAACAGAGAATAAGCTTTAAACTTTTGACTGCTATTATTATTATTGTTATTGGCATTATTGGAGTAAATCTTAATTTCTCTGATCCTTTCAGCCATACGAATTCGTAACAAAAAGTTATCAATAGATGACAAATACTAAAATTGAAACATGCACTCACGCAGTATCGCCAAGAGTGGACAGCTTTTTGGTATTGATAGTTGTGATCGGATAAGCCATAAGATCCATCTCACTACCTAATCGCATTCCTCTGGATGCCAGGTACATCCGTTCCGGCGTGAACAGTGCAGTGTATTGCTAGTTTGAGTGAGAATGTTCATAAATCATTTATTTACCATGGATTGGTTTGACGGTGTGTTTGGTGTATACCACACTTGCCAATCGATCAGTCCAAGATGAGCCACAGCCAGGCGCAAATATTGCGTGAATGTCTCACACACGCGATAAAGACTGGCATCTCGATCGACGAAGAACAAAGCCGAACCGGTATCCATGTAACCAAGTACCACGTAGCCGTAGCCGAGACATTTTTCAATTAGGAACATTCGCCGGACCGATCCTGTCTTTTGTTTCAATTCCGGAAGGAACGGGGCCAGATAATCATCGGTAAATCCGATACAATTATGTGTTCCGACACTACTATCACCGCGATCGCACACATATTCGGTTTCAACAAGACGTTCCAAGCTATGAATGGCAATTTGACCTACGATTGTTTTACCGTCTGAAAGAGCACACAACACACAATTTGTTCATTTAAAAGTGACAGGAGTGAACTACTGATTGTTATTTGTTTTCAGTAAATGGCATCCAGAGAGCCAAATACCGATTGCCGCTAAGCTCACAACATATACATGTTGATAAGGTAAAGGTGTTTGAACTCTCGGTCGGAAATTGTGCAAATGGTAAGCTGTACATGCGCAAACCCGGAGTCGCACTGTTCGATGCATTGTACATCAAATTTGCTTCAAAAATTCCTATATAAAGTAGGCATGAAACTTTGGGCTTTTTGTTGATCTCATAGTACTTACTATA